ATGAACAATTTAAATAACAAATTCAATTCACAACTAATTAATCCGTATCCACTGAGAACTCTTCCGACACATNAAAAAAAAACAGTGGAAAAAACGAGGACTACGCTCAAATTTCATGGCTTTCATGTGAAGCGCACACTTGTTTTGCTATCAAGCGCCAATTTCATGAACAGCAGCAGCAAAACTTTACAAACAAACACTTCATACAAATGAACAATTTAAATAACAAATTCAATTCACAGCTAATTAATCTGTATCCACTGAGAACTCTTCTGACACACATTCATGAAATAAGAGCCAAGGAAGACGCGCATATGCTCTCGCGTTGTGAAAACGAAATTCTAGCATATTCAAACGAGTGCAAATAGACTTTGGATACAATAAAGAGTTAAAATCATATGGCGACATTTTCAAAAGACATTTTGAGAAATTTCAGAAATCTTGATAATGAGCATCACTTCAATGAGGTGTTTTTTTTTGGAAAGAGAATGAATTTATCACTGCAGTTATCATTTGAGTTTGGAGTACATTTCGTTGAGCTCTTTCATAAAATGCGACTTTATTTGTGGTCGTTTATTCTTCATTGTTGGCGTCAATAAATCGTTGGCAATCGTGAATCGTTCGACTGATAAATAAATATCTTTTACCTGAAAATAACTTCATATTTTTGGAAATATTAACTTCACAAACGCCATCATTGGATGACGTTCTACACACATACATTATTGAGTGAGCACAGCTCAGATGCATTACGAAGTAATCAACTGAGATCGTGGCACCAATCGATTGTGATTAGCGGTGAATCAGTGAGATATGCTGATCGAAACAATCGTTCCGATGAGAGCAATCAAAACGTGATCAAATCAAGTGTTCTCACCTGTTCAAAGGAATTCAGACCAGCTTTACGTCCAACAATGATCAAATCGTTCAAAATCATCTTTTTCACGACATCGTTACGACATAATTTCTTGAAATCTGTTTCAGCTAGGTCAAGCTTTTGTTTGGCATCTCTTAGAACAATCTTCAAATGGAGTCAGTTAGTAGAAAGTCTAAAAATTGAACGATTTCCACGAAGAACAAATGTTAATTGTAGGAAGTATCAGTAATGTTATATGCCTTTGAATACAATTTTAGGCCATTCAAACGAGCAAACCGATGGATATTACATGTTACAATGATGAAAACGAGCGACTTGCTGGACAATTCATGAGCAGATACGCGATAAAACGTTGACATTTGTAATTTCTATCATTGTAGTGACAGTAGCTCTTGGAAGCACGAAAGCCGTAATGAGATGATTGCAAATAAACGGAACCTCTTGATCCGGCACGATAATCGCAACCAGACACGTTTTTAAACTTTCGCCATACACAAACGACTGCACCACGTACTCTGATCTGTCGTAGACCGCTTCTATCTTCTCGGGTGCAATATATTCACCCTGCAACCATATCAATTCAACATAGCTGCCGATGACAAACGCAACGCAAAATCTGATCTGTCTGAATAAATCTGAACAAGCATAGATTTGCCAGCCTATGGAATGAATCATTTAGCATAAACCTCAGACATTTCAGTAAATTCAAGTGTTTGTAGTTATCAATTGTTCTGAGGCCCTTAAATCGCAAAACTCTCTGCTTTAAATACCAGAAAAACTTGTGGCTTTCAATGAATCACTGTTATTAAGAAGAAGCGATACTTTTGCACTGAATCAATTCATTGAGAGTGCAGCCTTTGGATAAATTTGACTCTTTCATCGAACTATCTATCACCTGCTGCAGTTTGAAAATATGCTTCTTTCGATCGACAATTTTGAGTGTTCCCCTTTCGGTCCATCGACCGATATCACCCGAATGCAGCCAACCATCTGCATCCAACACTTCTCTCGTGCCTTCATCATTCTTGAAGTAACCTTTAAAGACGTGTGCACCACGATAGCATATTTCACCAGCCTGCAATGAATATTTTTGCTTCGAATAATACACATCATTCCAGCTGCAATCAATCCATTCAGTGCGGCACACCGACAAATTTCCACGAAAATTTCCGTGAATTGTT